CCCGAGTACTGTTTCTTTAGATTTTATCTAGGTCCTCCAAGGTATATCAGAAGAGAAAAAGATCCGGGAGTTCTGAGACATAACCCTCAACACAACTTGAGACTTGCTTGTTGCCAAAGAACCGTGATTGACAACCCAAGCACTTTCAGCTCACCTTGTTGCTTATTATCTCCTCCACCTGAACTCTAAAGCAGATTTTTAAGTACTAACCACCACTGCCAAACCCCTTGAAGCTGTCCGACTAGAAAAAGTTCACCAAAAGTGCCGAGTCAAAGATTCCAATGCGCTCCAAGAAATTCATCCTTCCCTCTAGATCTGACTTATAAGTACTGTGTAGGTAATCAATAGGAACAACACACCAGCAGTCAGAAGACCGTGGATGTTATGTCAGACATAGACAAATCACTGTACATCTGTTTTTAATTCCAAGGGTCTAGGATGGGTTCCTATCTATACACATTTATCTATCTTTTCTCAAAGGCCTCAGAGAACAAAATAAGCATGAAAGGTAACTGAGTCCTCCCCATAACTAACTCTATTTCAACAAGAGGTATTCTGGAATAGATGCCATTGCAAAAGGATAAATTTAGAAAGTCAAAACAAATTTTTGCCAAGGGGTCTGCCACCAACCCCAAAATGGTCCAGCCTCCCCTCTGTACTTCAGGAGTAGCTGTAACAATGGAGTAGCTGTAACTCTGAATAAATTCCTACCACCTCGACGAAGAGGGCAAAGAGAATCTAATCACTCTTTCCCGTCCCAAACTCCTTAGTCCCTCTAAAAGTGAGTACACCTAAAACAGTCTCTGTAATTCTTGAGTAAAATGAATTCTGCCTTCAAATCCTTCAGCAGCTCCCCACTTCCTACAGAAAGTTTAAACTACTTTACCATCTCTTGGCTGAATTACAACAACGTCCCCCTTAGGTGATCTCCCCTCATTCACTTTTGCCACTCTCCACATTCTCCACAAAATTATCTTTTCAAAAGCCACATCTGATCCATTCCACTACCTATCTACCCCACTGCCTATAATCATCACTGGCTTTCAGGATAAAAGTCCTGCCAGGCCTACTCCAAACTTCCCCACCCACCTCTCTCCCATCACTACTTCCCCAAAAGTTTCAGCCATGCTGGCCTTCATTCAACTCCTTAGCATATGCTGTTCCCTCAGCCTGGGATGCTCTTTTCACTCATACCCTCACACCTAATTTACCCAATTAACTTTTATTCCTCTTTTCAGATCCCACATCAAAAGTCATATCCTAGCAAAGCCTTCTCTGAACCTTCCATAAAGGCCATGACCCTGGTAAACTCACAGCATTCTCTGTTGTTACTTCAAAGCATATATCACATTTGCAAGATTACTTATTAAAATCCATCTCCACTTACTGTTAAGCTCTATGAAAATCAACCCACTGCCACTGAGTCGATTCCGACTCATAGCAACCTTATCGAACAGAGGAGAACTACCTGATAGGGTTTCCAAGGCTGTAAATCCTTGCTGAAGCAGACTGCCACACCTTTCCCCCGAAGAGCAGCTGGTGGGTTCAAACCGCCAACCTTTAGGTTAACAGCCGAGCACTTTAACCACCGCAGGGGCTCCTTCCTCCACCCCCGACTCTGTTTACTACACCATGTAGCCCTAACATCAGCACTAGTCTAAAAACCAGTTGCCACTGACTCATTTCCAACTCATGACGACCCTATGTGTGTCAGAGTAGAACGGTACTCCATGGTGTTTTCAATGGCTGATTTTTTTTGGAAGTAGCCTTTTTTCCAGGCGCCTCTGCGTGGACTTCAACCTCCAACCTTTCTGTTAGCAGCCGAAAACATTAACTGTTTGCACCACCCAGGACTCCAGCAAAGTACCTAGCATACAGTATGCATTCAATAAATATTGGCTGAATGTGTAAGTAAATGAGTATCATTCGAAAGTCTTCATTACCTCTATTACCTAACCTCAACTTTATTTACCACTTCTCCACAATTCAAATCCACCACCAACCAGAACTTTCGGACTCCCCCAAAACCACTCTTTTTCTTCATCTTCTGTCCTTCAAATCCTATGGCTCTCCCCGCTTAGAAAGTTCACCCCATTTTTCTCTGCGTGTTCAAATCCCACTGGTTTGCCAAGACTAAACACAAACTTTCTTTCCTCCAGAATGTTTACCCTGATAACACCAGTTCATACTTCTGTTCCTGCTCCACACTTCCAAAGTACTTAGCATTTTTTTTTATAGCTTTATAGTACTGAAATGTGTTGTGTGTGTATGACTTATCTCCCCCACAATGGTGCAAACTCCTAACGCTGGGTGTTTACATCACGCCCCCCCCCTCACCAGGCAGTACTAAATACTGAGCTGTCACTGAAA